ATACCCAAGTCATTACCAAAAATAAATTTGAAGGCTGACACAGTATCTCAAAACTACTTTCACTTTTTCTGGCTTGAAAGTAACACCTTCACAGCACTTCTATTGCACATGCACATCCTACAAAACACAGTAATCTGAGAAACAGCACTGTCCTTAGGAAATATTACAAGAATTGCTCGTGCGTTTCAGCTATTCTGAAATTTCCCATTTCCAGACCCCAAACCTGGTTTACTTCAATATGCTAGCTGCCATGCCTCACATGTAAAACTTATTCATGCCAGTGGCTATAAAAGATGGCCAGCAACAAATGCAGAAGTAGAAGATGGGAAAGTCTGGGAGGTCAGGAACAACTAAAAAGGTACTAGCATAGATTACCAGAAGATGCAAATCTCACCTGCTAGATATGTTTAGTGATGCACCTATGGTTTAGTCTTTCACTAGTTCTTTTAAGAAACTACAATCATTGAAACACTTCCAACTCTAGTGTCCAACACTTGCATTTACATGCCGTCTCATGTAATCACATCATACCATAGTCCAGACACATCTTCAAAACCAAAGTTGTCATGATCTAATAACACAGTCGCATGGTGATGCCTGCCATTAGAAAATTAGCCAACATCATGCATTTTTAGAGTTGTTTCTTTAGCAGACATCAGAATTTCTTTTGTTCCATTTTGTTTATTTGTGAGGGATGCATAGAATGTCCAGCTTCTCTTAACATGCGAGAAAAATAAAGGGAATAAGGCTCCCTGGCAGGAAAACCGGAATCAGCAGAAATACTTTACTTCCCATCTCCTCCTGTTTTTGCTTTTTAACTAAGCAATCCTCACCAGGGTGAAGACGATTCTGCTGGTCCTCAGTGCCACCACTGCACCCTCCATTGCCCTGTCACAGCCTGCGGTCCCCAGAGGTCATCAGCTACCACACAGGGGCTGGAAGGAATGCAGGACTTGACAGGTTTTGCTACCAGAAGCCAACTCACTCCAATGTCTCATCCCTTAACTGGGACATTCCTCTTGCTTTTGGATACTTCATATTTCACACAGGTGCCCATGACAATTTCAAGACAGTGCCAGACCAGGAACTGCTATGATTAATATTTTGTGTTACCATTAATGGAAATCACTTAGACCATACAGATATGCCTCCACAGGCAGTGCCAAAAGAGATCCTACCTGTTTGATAGCAGTTCCTGTCTGCTTCATTACAAAACCAATTTCATACCTTCATTACTTACAGCATCCTTCAATGTGTGGTAGTATTATTTTTTATTTGTTCTGACTTACAAATGCCTCAGACTCTCCAGAGGAGCTACTGAACCCAGCAGAAGAAAGAGGAGCCCTACAACCACAGTTTAAGGAGGGCGACCTTGGATTAGGTATTATCTGTTAAAAACTGGAGCAAGAGTCTTGAACTACTGAAGTAAGTGGTTGAAAACAATTATTGTGGTAAGCCTGTGACAGCAGCCATTAGAACTATAACTTTTAGGATGATCATACATAATCTTGTTATTAATCTTTCTTGAGCCAATTATGCACGCATCAACTTTATTAAAGCCAGTAGAATACAGGACATCACCCCCTGCCTCCCAGGTTAAGACATCACCCCCTGATCACCAGGTTAAGAGCTACCCAAGGAAAAAAAAAACCCCACAAAACCAAAAAATAAGACACCCCCCCCCCCCAAAAATCCCAACCCCACCCCCAAAAACCAAACAAAAAAGAAAGCTTTTTGTTACTTAACTGTGTATCTTAATACAATGGTCCAAAAACTTAGCTGTCACACAGACACTGTCTATGAGGCTTTAGTTTTTTCAGTGTTTTAACATTTCCAGAACACATAAAAAAAAGAACATTTTAAAGCATGAGGCTTAAGGAGTTTACAATTATTTAGTAGTATTGCATCAGAGTAAATTTTGAAATAGAAATTTATGTTTTTAAACCTGAGCACTTTCAACTTGGAAAAACATTTCTCAAAAACCTCTTTTCAAATCACACAGACTTTATTTCTTACTCAGCTGGAGACAGTATACGCTAAATCACTAATGCTCTAAGACATGGCCTTACATTTTCAGAGATCATGACCCATTGTTGAGCAAGAGATTCAGATTGCAAAAGGCAGAAATGAATCCAGAGCTGAGTTTTAAGTACAACTCTCAGAGGATTTCTCACTGTAATAGCAGAAGGCTGCCAGAGGCATGTATGGACATGCGCTAAGGTCTCTGGCTATCCTCTTCAATGAGGCACAGCAGCAAAATGAATAGTAGTTCTCCTATACTGTGTTTACTATATGTAAAAACATTCCTTTTCAGTGCATAAATTGAGGCTTATAGTTTCAAACAACTGCTCTAGGGTTAGGCTGAATACTTAACCCATCGGACAAAAAGAAGAAAAGGAACTAGGGCTCTGTGCTGCTGAATTTGGACACGTGCTACACAGTGGATCCTGAAGCTTGTAATAAGCTTCTCAAACCTGTTGTTTTGACCAGTTAACCTCCTATCACAACTGCCTTGACAGCTTTCCAAAAAAAAATGGGTGAGGTTTTAAAGGGCAAATGTCTTTTGGGAGAAAGATACTAAGGGAGTTAAACATCCACTGCAGACAGAGTAAACCTTTTGCTACGGGCAGTGTGGAACCTCACGCAGTGTACACACAATAAAGAGAGCAGAAATTACTTGTGTGCAAACATAATCTTCCATTAAATGAGCTAATAGAAAACTTGTCAGATTATAGTTAAGGGCAAAAAGAGCACTCCTCAACTATATTGTTCTTAATTTTAAATCACTCAACCTGTTGGTACAGCTTTATAAGGATGTAATTTTTATCTTATTTTCTGATGATCCTAGAAAAACATAAACTCTAAGTGGAAAAGCTGTTCTATTGATAACTACAGTCAGAATTTCACTCTCAAGAAAGCCACACTACACATACTCCTAATAAACACATACTCTACATAAACACAGGAAAAAGTATGTCAGAAGAAGGAATGGCTTCATCTGCAAGTAGAGTTCTATATATTTTTATATATGCTAACTGAAGTAAGTATGAGCAAATGGTAATCAAACATCCATGTGGAACAGCTTTCATAATCAAGATATAACTCAACATCTCCTGAATAATTATTTAATTTTGAAAAGAACAAATTTTATAAGTTATTCATTTTAACAACAAATTGGCATGGTCTTTCTGTATGTGTCTGACATCAAGAATTCAATATATTCACCAGGTATTCAAGACTGATGGTACTATGAGATTTTTCAGTGGCATTGTAGCTGAAAGACAAGTTCTGTCTTTGGAGGCTCTGTAAGGACTATGGTGGCACAGGTGAAAGAGAAGAGGATCAGATTCCCCTGGATAGGACAAGTATAAAACAAATGGCGGTTTTTGAGATTTGCTGTTGTATGGTTTCATCTGAACAATAAGAAGGACCACTAGATGCTAAACTACACATATTTAGACATTCGAGAATACAGCAGACCAACTACTCCTCCCCTGCTATCAGCAGAGGCAGAGCATCTCCCACTTTTCCATCCCTTCTGCATAAAAGAATTTAAAAGCTCTGCCCCTCCTGCTGCTGAATCAAGGCCTCACTAGATACAAGACTCCACACCTGGAAGTGGAAGGAAAAGGAAATCCTTGCTTTCCCCCTCCATAAAAAAGCTGGCTTTTCACCTGGGAATGTAGAACCACAAACATTTAAGATGTCATTCAGGATGCAGTAAATTACACTAGATACGCATATATACTGAGGAAACAATTCCAGGAATACCTACTATTTCTAATAGCTATTGGTCGCCTGACTAAACATAAATAAAAATAAGGTTAGTAAAGCTTGTATAGTTTCTCCATCAAAACATCACTTTCTGGTTTCATGCATGACTCACGAACTTGGAAGAAAGAGTACTATCTGACTGATTTTTCTGTTTTCTGTAAGATATCCCACCATAAAAGGACGAAGTACTGTAAAATCTCAGCAGACAGTCCTGTTCCAGACACTCTAGTTCACAAGCTTCCTTTTACATGGTTTAACTACTACTACCAAGCTCCAACTTATCCTTTAAGGTTATGTCTCTTCTACTCTAGAAAGGTTTTCAGAGAAAAACCTTTTAATCAACCAACTAAGAATCCCAGAAGCCAGTAATTCATGTCATTTGTGCCATGATCCTGCCTCACCAACACTTTGACAAAGCCATTATAACATTTTCTTTTCAAGCTTACTGAAAATTATCTACGAAACAGCAAACAACTTCCCTGAAAATCAACTCTTCTGCCACAGGGACCTCGACACGCTTGTGAGGTGGGCTGATGCCAACCTCATGAAGTTTAACCATGCCAAGTGCAAGGTCCTACACCTGGGTCAGAGCAATCCCAGGCACAGCTACAGGGTGGGCAGAGAAGAGATTCAGAGCAGCCCTGCGGAGAAGGACTTGGGAGTGTTGGTCGATTAGAAAATGAACATGAGCTGGCTTCAGTGTGCGCTTGCAGCCCAGAAAGCCAACCGTATCCTGGGCTGCATCAAAAGGAGCATGACCAGCAGGTCAAAGGAGGTGATCCTGCCCCTCTACTCTGCTCTCGTGAGACCTCACCTGGAGTATTGCGTGCAGTTCTGGTGTCCTCAACATAAAAAGGACATGGAACTGTTGGAACAAGTCCAGAAGAGGGCCACGAGGATGATCAGGAGACTGGGCCACCTCCTGTATGAAGACAGGCTGAGAAAGTTGGGGCTGCTCAGCCTGGAGAAGAGAAGCTTGCTTGGAGACCTCATAGCAGCCTTCTAGTATCTGAAGGGGGCCTATAGGGATGCTGGGGATGGACTCTTCATTAGGGACTGTAGTGATAGAACAAGGGGTAATGGGTTAAAACTTAAACAGGAGAAGTTTAGACTGGATATAAGGAAGAAGTTTTTTACTGTAAGGGTGGTGAGGCACTGGAATGGGTTGCCCAGGGAAGTTGTGAATGCTCCATCCTTGGCGGTGTTCAAGGCCAGGTTGGACGGAGCCTTGGGTGGCATGGTTTAGTGTGAGGTGTCCCTGCCCATGAGAGGGGACTTGGAACTAGATGATCTTAAGGTCCTTTCCAACCCTAACTATTCTATGATTCTATGATTTAAATAAAAAAACAGAACTACAGTAAAACTAATACAATTCTGAAATTGGCAGCTGAGGTGCAAATAAAAAGCACAGAGCAAGAAATCTGCAGTGAATTTACTGTAGCCCCTAGAAATAGGATGTACTCAGCAGAAGGAAAACTTTCACTGTAAGGAAAAATCATCTTTTTAATGAACTTTCATTTGTCCTTTTTCTCGTCTTTTACTTTCAGATATATATGCAGAATGTGGTTGGAAGCAACAAAAGAGTAGAGCTTCAAAAATCATCAAACAATGGTGCTACTTTTAATAATTTATTAAAGGTCCTAAAACAAAGATCAAAAGGGAATGTATCTGAGCATTTATATTCAATTCTACATTGCCTGATGACTAATTTGTAAAGAGCGCATAAGTCTTAACAACTGAAGCCAAAACCATTTGAGGATACTTTGATATAATGCCACAAAGGATATGAGCAGGAAGGCAGCAGGAGTTACAAATGGCCATCTCCATTAAAAGTGTTAATAAAAGGATAATGGAATTTCCTTGTACTATGAATGAAAAGTGTTTGGTACATGAGAATTTAGACACAGAGAGGAATATCAAAGCTTCTGGTTCATCAGTTGCTTCTCCTTATTAGATCTTAATTGACTTACTATTACATTTACTTTAAAATGCTTCAGATCAAAAAGGCAATGATCCCATTCAAAATTCTGTCACACTGATTTCCTTTATTCTTCATGTTTCTCAATTTTCACAGGTCCTTAATATGTGCTTTACCAATCCCTGTAAACAGTGCAAGTCCATCTATATAAAAACACTTTGAAGTGATGGATTTAACTTGAAATGCTAGATCATTATTAAAATTATATAATATACCTTTTGCTTGACTTTTTTTTTCCAAACCGTACATTTTCAAGTTGCTGGTAGCTATAGAACTCTCATGGCAACAACTTACCTGATAAATTTAATCCATTAATATTTACACAATATATTTCTTCCTCATAGACAAATGTGTAGTTACATGTATACACGCATAAGATCATAAGTAGAAATAGATGCACATACACACACTTCTACCAACTTCTTCCCACAAACATAAAACTTAGCTAATTTTTTCCAATGTAAAGCTATTTGTTATATAGCCAGGAAAAGAAAGCATAAAGTTCAAAACTTTCCTTTGGAATGTCCAACAAAAAAATATTTCAAATCTTTCCTTTTCAAAATGGATACTTGCAAAATCACACACGCTTTGCAAAACAAAAGCAGCAAAGACAGTAAATCATGCTGCTGACAAATTGCTAAGGGATTTAGTTCACTTGCTTAAAAACTCATGCCCAAAAATGCATCCAAGATAGGAGGAACTCCCCTAAAATATTTACAAACCTACTTAACTCTCCTCCAATCTGCTGCTTAATTTTGCATAATGTCTACAAAAATCCCATGACATAGCTACAGCACAGAAATGCTGTGATCTCTGTCTCTTGGTCCTCCAAAAATCTTTTTTAACAGCTTTAAATTCATACTGCAATGTCTGTAAGGAAGTGACCTTTTTTCTTACCCTACAGTATGGGATATAATAAACAAGGTTGGTTTTTTTTTTTTAATCAGGGTTCCCAGACTTTACAAATAAGGATCAAGTTATAATGTTGATGTACATTTCTTCTTCTTCCCCCCAGACAACCATCAGGTTGTTACCAAAGCAGCCTCTTCCAATGATGCTTCCAGAATCAATAGATAATTCATCAGTATCATGTATTTCAGGCCTAACTGACACAAGAGGATAAGCAACACACTAAAGGGTAACACACCTTGTAAATAGAAAAATAGGGGAATCTGATAACACATACAGTCACTTTGCAAGATTTAGTGTGAGTCTGCAAATTATACTTCTATGAGCTTCATGTGAGTCACTGGGTTTACAAATCAGAAAATGCAACTTCTAAAGCTTAACTTGAAGAAACAAAGAAATATTCATGTGATAGCATAATTCAAGTAATATGAATACCCTAGCACTTTCAACTTTATAATTTCCTCTCATTTTTTAATTAAACATGATACATAGTTAACATGAATGTTTGGAATTTGTCTTAACAAAAAAATGTAGGTAGTATATTTTTTCTTACCTTATGATCATATGGACTGTATGAATGAAACAGCTGGGACAGATCCTTTGTTCGCTGTTTTTTCTGAAAAGTAGTATTAATAAATAAACCGTATTAGAAAAGTTAAAGGAAAAAGAAAGACACTACTGATTTAAAAAGCTGTATGCAGGTACAAACACATTCTCTCCCAACTTTGTTAATGGAACTGTAGGTATGAAGAGCAGTGTATGCAGATTAGGGATATTAAATATCACAGGAAATAATTAACATATATATTAACAATGTTAAGAACATATCCTTAATAAATAATAAACACTAATCTATGGAACATCAGTGGAATGTGTAAACAATTAAGATTTGTTTTAATTTCTGCACAGTAAATTATAAATAATGCTTTAGAATACAGATAACAAAACTTGAAGATTAGGCTTCAATCTTGCAAAGACTTGTCTATTATTCTAGCATGTACATGCAGTCTTGCTTAATAGCATATTAGGTTTAAAAGAGGTAAGTTTAAAGAGAAATAATTCATTATTTTTTGATTTCTTTTGATGCTGATACTCTCATTGCCTTGACTGTGGAAAAGAAATAGGTGGTATGCCATTTAATGCCAAGGCAAATGAAAAAAAAAAAAAAGAATCCTTTTAAGAGCAAAGTTCAAAGACAAAATGTGCTTAATCCAGCTTCTACTGAAATTAATGATAGTGCTTTCAGTGATTTCAGCAGACGTTAAATACATTCAGCTGCATCCTATGGAAGAGGACAAGGAGAGGAGAAAACCCATTTCATCAATGCAGGGATGAGTCACAAATAAGTTCAAAGGTTTATTATGTCAGAATCTTTGTTGACTTATCTCGTTGCTTGGGAAGGCAAAGCATTGTGCATTTGAAAACGTGTGACAAACAGGGAGGCAACTGCAAGAATTCCTTGCTTGTAGTCTGTACTATTATCTTTTTCTAGCCATTATTTCTTATAAAGTAGTTTTCCAACTAAACTGGTAGTCTCTGTTCATGTTTCCAGCACGCTGGGAACTAAATAGACAGTAGCATGACTGCAGTATTTAACTTCTGGAAACTATAGGATAATTTAGTAACCTTTCATTCTGCAAAATCAACTGTGCATTTCCTTTCCTTACAAAGTTTTAATTTCAGCAAAATGTTCTTATGCAGCAACTTAGCCATAAAAGAACTTTAATTACTAATACAAATTTTCAAGAGCTAGATATTTCTGAGTCATTAAAGGTATCAGATTAATATTACTACTTCTGTGAGGTCCCTACCTATGTTTAAGGTATGACCACTAAAGAGTCCAGAAAATTATTTTTTACTCACTGTCCCTCTTCAAACAAGAACAGTATATTTAGTTTTCAGTATGAGGTGACTTCTGCCATAGATCATTCTATTCAATTACTGTAAGTAATAACTAACAGGAATTGTTTCTCTGAGCTTAATAAGAGGCTTTAAAACTAAGAGAAGCGATATTAAAGACATTTCTGTTAGTATACACTTTCTCAGCAATCAAACATACCTTTGCCAAAGAGAAGATCCCCCTTAGTAGAGAAACCTTCACCCTCTAACTCCCATTAATACCTCTTTTATTTCCAGTGGGGAAAAAAACCCAACACTCAAATGAAAGCATCAGGTAACTGAACCCAAATTCCATCACCATCTTACAATGACTTCTTTCTTTGTAGTACAGTTATACACAGTGAGAATGATCACAATACTACAATAAGGACTTGGAGAAATGTAATGATAAATTGAAAAGTGATATCAAAATTCTTATTAAAAAGGTTTCTTAAAAACCTAGTTTAATGTAGAATCATGCAAGAAGTAGACAAAAGCATTTTAGTTTGGAATCCTCCACTAATTTATATATTTTAGAAAAAAAAAAACAACAAAACCAAACAAACCCAAACCCCCACACAATCAAAATAAAGCCTAATTCTTGCTTTTTCTTAAGGAAGATGATTTCTTTTGTATCCTTTTTGACTGCACAAGAAGCTTTTTTGAGTAATTTTATTGGAATAGCTTTAATAACACTCAAAACTATTATGACAGAAACCCTCTGGCCCTCAGTCTCTGGCCAAAAATACTACATGCTCAGCTAGACAAAATGAAGATGGCTTCCTTTACACAACACACTGACATAGTCTTTCAATTTTTACTATAGAAAATTATGGTTTATTACTTACCTTTCCACAAAAGGTACAAGTTTTGTTTTTTGTACAAAATCAAAGTGCTCCAGATAGGGGAAATGCTTGAAATTCACGACACAGAGGAACATGGAATGATACTTATGGACATGCGCATGAAGAAATGCTGCCCCAAAATTCTGAGGATGCCCTGTACACTTATCTGACCTAAATCAAACCACCATTTCACTACTTTGTAGGAACTCTGAATACAGAGTTAAAAATGAATTAAGCAGAGAGTTAAGATTGCTTAGTGATAATTGCTATCATTCTAGAATAATGAGTTTAGCTTAACTGAGGTCTCTAAAAACCAGAAATATAAACTATTTCAAATACAGAGACTATGGAAAGGACAGGGAATTCTTGCTGCTATAACGGTTACCCCTTCAACTCACACAACAGGCATTAACCACACTGTTTTTTTTACAAGAAGAAAAATCATGGTTCCCACCTCACCTTTAAGCAGTGTAAGCACAGAATAAAGCATGCTCCATGTCTCCATGTCCAGATGTTGCAGAGGAAAATAAGGAGCCCAAAAGCTCCTTCTCCTTTATTGCCTCCAGTGGACTTTTTCAGTCCCTGAAAAACTGCCTGTTTACATGCATCTCTCCAGAATTTCTTTCCTTGATGCAGCTTCATACTCCTATTTCTCCTTTCTTGGCTCAGTCTAGCATTTCTTTCTCCTGTCTTCCTGCTCTTTCCTTTTAGCATTCTGATTCCCCCTCACAAGCCGACCTCACAAGCATGTCGAGGTCCCTCTGGATGGCATTCCTTCCCTCCAGGGTATCAACCGAACCACACAGCTTGGTGTCATCGGCAAACTTGCTGAGGGCGCACTGAATCCCACTGTCTATGTCAGTGACAAAGATGTTAAACAAGACCGGTCCCAACACCGATCCCTGAGGGACACCACTCTTTACTGGTCTCCAGCTGGACACTGAGCCATTGACCACAACTCTTTGCGTGTGGCCATCCAGCCAGTTCTTTATCCACCAAGTGGTCCATCCATCAAATTGATGTCTCTCCAATTTAGAGACAAGGATGTCGTGTGGGACAGTGTCGAACGCTTTACACAAGTCCAGGTAGATGACATCAACTGCTCTACACCCCTGTCCATCAGTTCTGTAGCCCCATCACAGAAGGCCACCAAATTGGTCAGGCAGGATTTCCCCTTAGTGAAGCCATGCTGGCTGTCACCAAGCACCTTGTTGTTGTTCATGTGCCTTAGCATGCCTTCCAGGAGAATCTGCTCCAAGATTTTGCCAGGCACAGAGGTGAGACTGACTGCTCTGTAATTCCCCGGGTCATCCATTTTCCCCTTCTTGAAAATGGGGGTTATATTTCCCTTTTTCCAGTCATCGGGAACTTCACCTGACTGCCGTGATTTCTCAAACATGATGTCCAGCGGCTTCGCAATTTCATTTGCCAGCTCCTTCAGGACCCACGGATGGATTTCATCAGGTCCCATGGACTTGTGCATGTTCAGATTTTTAAGATGGTCTCGAACCACATCCTCTCCTACAGTGGGCGCAAGGTCTTCATTCTCACAGTCCCTGCATCTGCCTTCCAAGACTTGGGTGGTGCAGTCAGAGCCTTTGCCAGTGAAGACCGAGGCAAAGAAGTCATTCAGAACCTCAGCCTTCTCCAAATCCTGTGTAGCCAGTTCTCCCAAGAGCTTCCTGAGGGGGCCTATGTTCTCCCTAGTCTATTTTTTATTTGCTATGTACCTGTAGAATCCCTTCCTGTTATCTTTAATACCTCTAGCTAAGTTTAATTCTGAGCCTTAGCTTTCCTGACCTGGTCCCTAGCTTCTCGGACAACATCCGTGTACTCTTCCCATGCCACCTGTCCTTGCTTCCACTTATTATAAGCCACTTCTTTCAATTGTATTTTCCTCAGGAGCTCCTTATCCATCCAAGGAGGTCTCCTGGCCCTCCTGCTGCACTTCCTTCTGGTTGGGATGCAACACTCCTGAGCTTGTAGCAGGTGATCCTTGAATATCAACCAACAGTCTTGGGCACCCCTGCCCTCTAGGGCTGTATCCCATGGAACCTTACTAAGCAGGTTCCTGAAGAGGCCAAAGTCTGCTCTTTTGAAGTCCAGGGCAGTGAACTTGCTGCACGCTCTTCTCACTGTCCTGAGGATCTCGAATTCAAGCATCTCGTGATCGCTGCATCCAAGGCTGCCCTGGAGCATCACATTTCCAACGAGCCCTTCCTTGTTGGTGAGCACGAGGTCAAGCATGGCACCTCTCCTTGTCAGCTCCTCTATTACTTGCAGAAGGAAGTTGTCTTCCACACAATCGAGGAATCTCCCGGATTGCCTGTGCCGGGCCGTAACGTCCCTCCAACAGATGTCAGGGTGGTTGAAGTCACCCATGAGAAAAAGGGCCTGTGAGCATGAGGCTGCTCCTATCTGTCTATGGAGTGCTTCATCCGCAGGTTCTCCTTGAGCAGGCGGTCTGTAACAGATCCCCACAGTAATGCCTCCCATCACTGTTCTCCCTTTAACCCTGACCCACAAACTCTCTGTGGACTGCTCACCTGTCCCCAGACAGAGTTCCATACTCTCCAGCCTATCCCTAACATAAAGGGCAACTCCCCCTCCCCGCCTGCCAGGCCTGTCTTTTCTAAAGAGCCTGTAACCTTCCATTCCAACACTCCAGTCATAGGAGCCACTGATACAGTCTATGTTCAGTGACCACAGAACATTTCCTTAAAACAAGTTACTCTTGGCAGTGGGTTACTTGCAATATTCTTGTTCACTCTGGCTGTATATACTTTTGGAGCAAGAGCATTTGACATGCAGGCCAGAGATACACTATTCCTCCATAAACTTTTCCAGTATTGGTTTGCCAAAAGGACAGTTAGAGTCACGTATCACTTGAGAT